CTTGTTCTACTCACCTATATTAGTTTTGTGCCATTTGGAGCTGTTCTGAAGATATTCGGTTAGGTTATATCCAAGTAACATCTTCCTATGGGTAACGACTTGAAGGCACAAACTAAACTGTTCACAATGTATCATTTATGGTACGCCAGCATTCATAACATGTTGGTGAATCACTGTCCCCCAGACATCCGCGGTTATATTTTTTATATTTATATTTTTTTAAAACAAAGCGGAGTGTGTATGACGTAATCCGCGCGCCGGACTGGAGTTGTGACAGGCAGCCCGGGCCACAGGCGGCTACGCTCTACCCCCTTATATTCTTTTGGCTAGCTAATCTGAATCGTTCAATTCCATTTCGAGAGCGAGATTATCTGTGGTAGTAGCACTAGACATCTTTCAGGCATGTGAGTAAAACTAGCAGAGGTTCAGCGGACAGGATGAATGAACGGTAGCCGACACGTGCAGATGACGTCATACACACTCCGCTTTGTTTTAAAAAAATATAATATAATATAACCGCAGTTGTCTGGGGGACAGTGATTCGCCTACATGTTATGAATGCTGGCGTACCATAAAAAACAAATTACGAACAGTTTAGTTTGTGCCTTCAACTCGTTGCCCATAGGAAGACGTTACTTGGATATAACGGAATGTCTTCAGAACAGCTCCAAATGACACAAAATTTAAATGGGTGGGTAGAACATGATGTAATAACGTCAAATCAAGGGCCCCAAAAAAAAAAAAAACGGCATTCCCCTTTAAAAGGGACAGTGTACAATTAGAACATCAATGTTACCAATTGATGCATTGAACCAGAGTTAGCCCAAGGTTAATTTGCATCTGCAGTCACTCAGGCAGGGCACAGTTAATATTAACTTCATGCCCCATTCCAAAATTAAAAACAGAAAACATACATACGGGGTTCAACATGGCACTCACCTTTCACTCATCTACTCTAGAATAAAAATCTAACCCAACCTAAAAATAAATATATACCCCATTTACTCTATTATAGAGAGGGATTTAAAATAAATTGCATACATTCTAAACTGGTCTGACAAGTTCAGTCTATTAAACATACGGGTAAAATTTTTCTGTGTATGAAACAGCCGTTTGCATCAAGGCACTGACATGGCAGCAAAAATGTGACATAATTTCACTTTTATGTGACTAAAGAAGCAAAACATGTTTTAAATAGTTGGCAATTTGTTTTGACTTACCAAATGAAAAAAAAAAAATTGGACAAAAATTCAATAATGATGTCTGTTGTTTTTTTTTCTCTCTCTAGCCTTTTCTTTCCAGTTGTTTAGCTTGTTCCTCTTATAGTCATTATTACTCTCTGTCCCATCAACAGCTGCATCTTTGTATCTCTGCTGGTTATGGAAGATGTGCAGCGGGTTTTCTGATAAGGATCAAGAGTATTATAACTGGGAAGTAAGTGGGTAACAGCAATGCCTTAGTAGAACATAGATAGGTGGCAAGGGAGAGACAAAGCAAGAACAAGGAGGAAAGGGATGGGGAGAGCGGGGTGAGAGGCCATGAGAGGATGGTTCATGGTTGCCAAGCAACGATTGATAACCAGATCCCCAAGCATCTTGCCTCTGCTGCCCTGCCCTCCCTCCAGGTCTAAATCAGACACATAAACCCATGGGCATGCACAGAAAACAACATACATGGAGTAAACTTGCTCATTAAAGATATATATGTATTACTTGAACTTCAATTCATGATAAATAAAAAATCTTCTTTTGAAGAGGCTTCACAGCTGCAACAGTGAGAATGTGCAACAAAGAGCCCAAATCTAATTCCCTAAAACAGTTGTGATTGATGACACTAAGACTCACTAAACTGTTATTGTGTTTTCCTCATAAGCGTTTTCTCTAAATGTGTAAAATCCATACACCTTGTCTCTCATTCTCATGTTGCCGACTAAGGCTTTTGCTATACTGTAAATTCTCATCTTTCTCTGCCTGTTGCAGATGCTAGTGGCATGGCATTTTAAAAAGCAAAGCCAAGGATCTGTATTCAAAATACGTTGTCAGTGTGGGTGGTTGTCAGGTGTTTCTTCATAAGGAAGCAACACATAAAGAAAGAAAGGAAAACACAGAGAAAAAAATAAATTATAAGACCCAATGTGTGATGTTGCAGCAAATACAGGAGTGGCAAGGTAAAAAAAAAAAAAATAATTATAATAATAAAAAAGCCTATTTGAGGAAAAACGTTTGATATGGTTTAATTTTATTTATCGCAAAACATAAACGTTAAAATGCATGTGGTTAAATAAAGGAAATGCATTCATTTCTTTATCCTCTATCAGAACAGAAGGAGGGAGTGTGAGACAGAGACGGTAGGAGATCTCCGTGCAGGTACCTGTTAGAGCGCAGGATGATCAGATTAAAGGTGTCAGGGTTTGTTAATCTGTGAGGGAGGAACAGGCTTCGCCACTTGCACACATCGCCCCATTCATCGCCAGCGACGGGAAGCGGAGGAGATTGGATACTGACGCGCATCGGGGAATTTCCCCCCTTTTTCTCTTCCCTATACAATGGACACCTGCAGGGTACCAACCTGGATATGCCTTCTTCTGCTGTGGCAGGAGGGATGTTTGGCATCCCAGTTCCCCACACAGCTCATGTAAGTATAACCCAGTGTTTTTTTTTTTCTGCTCAAATCCTTGACAGACTGCTTTTCGGAAGCGTTTATTGTTGTAACCGTAACAGTAGGTTCTTATGACTACGATTTTAATTATTTTTTAATGAGACACAATGATTGCGTGGGAGTGGGGACCGGTGTCCCACTGGCCGGTTCGTTCATGAGCCAGACAGACATATTAATAGCAGAAAGTATTTTATCTCAGCTGTTTGCTGGGATCCTGACGTTGATCAATGTTGGTCACCAAAAGCGGCAGATTGTCGCCGGTGGCCGCGCGCAACCGTGACAGCTCGTCAATGAAGTTGTGGAGGAGTTACAATCGTTGCCCTCCAACCTAATGCTGTATTTAAAAATGACAGAGGATGTCTTCAGTAAGGTATCCTTTAGGCTTGTTCACGTGTTTAATTTTTTTTCAAAATTTAATTAAATATACTGTTTATTGTTTAAGAAACAAATCCACGTTTATGTTTATCATTTTCAATGGGAGTTGGCTTATTTGTTCCTTTTGTATCTGTAAGGAAAATACAGTCTGATTAAATGCAAACGGTAGTGTTTTGACTTTACACAGAAAAAAAAAAAATCAAAGACAGCTCATGGGATACAAGAAGAGCGCGGGGATCCAGGGGCGGAGCTAGATGGGGGGCCAGCCACAAGAATCTCCAGTCTGTGTGGGTTAATCTAGAGAATAGTGCACACGTTGGAGGTCAGACAGGTAAACAAGCGCTGGACCCGGAGGAGTAATGGAGAGGACTGTCAGTCGGATTTCCGATGGGTACTTGAATGGAACATGTGGAGGTTTTCCCCTGCTCAGTCTAACTCAGTTTTTCCTTCCAGGGGAGAGAAGGCCCAGGAATCCAGTAACCCAGGAAAGCTTCCTGTGGGGAGCAAAGACAAAAAACTCGTTAGACTCAGAGAAACAAAGCTAGGTTAGACTCAGCTAATCTCTGCTTGGCTAGAGTACCCAAAACTGGCAAACACTCTGGCCTCGAGGTAGTGACAGCTCACAGCTAAAATACTCCTCCAGATAATGATCCAACAAGCCGCAGGTGTGCAGGAGGGCCAACAAGGACAGGGCACCACCTGGTGGTGGATGGAGAAAAACACACAAACAACCACAAAAACAGACCACACAAACTGGATTCCTAACAACAGGTATAGAATTAATGCTCTTTCCAGAGCTAGATTTTGTGTTACATGGGGTAAAGAGAAAATGATGTGTCTCTGCAAGTCCTCTAGGAGTCTTCAGTGAAATCATAGATAAATAAGAAATTTAATAAAAACTTATCAAATAATCAATTTACGTAGATATTAGTGCTTGGAAATATCAATTTTATGCAGAATGGTTTTTGATACAAGTAGGTAAGTAATGATAATGGAAAAGATTTACGCCCCAGGACTCAAAACTGAGTTTTATCCACTATACCTTTTATCTAGAAATTAGGGGTGTTTAAATATATATGTATTTGTTAGCAAAGGCTGTAGGAAAGTATAGTTTGTTTGTTTTTTTTTGGTTGATTTTCCCGTTGGAACAGTGTAGATTGACCCTGGGTTCTGGTGCCTATCTGCTTTCGGCCACCCCTCAACGTACATTGGTTATTGCCTAGCCACCCTTATAAATATTTCTGGTTACGCTAGGGCTGGGCGATATAGAAAAAAAGCTTATCGATTAAAAAAAATGCATATTGATCGATATCGATAATTATTGAAAAGATTTGAAACAATATTTTATGTGCAGCTCTGCCTGGACTTTTTATAATATTGCTAAATGATTTAATTTTAATAAAAAACACAAACACAGACTTCGAATTAAATCTTTATTTAACCAACTTTTTTAACAATAACAGAATTGTTTTAAAGAAAAATAACTTAAGAGACCTAGGTTATGTTATTAAATACTGACAAAGAATAAACTGAAGTGACCAGAAAAGTGACCAAAATAAATATAACAAATAAATAAATGCCCCCCCACCGCCCCCGTTTCCTGCTTTAACCTGAGTTATTACTTTGAAGTTTCTGGCCCCTCAGCATTTTTATCTCAATTGTTAGAACTACGTGGGAAACTGCCCAGAACTGAAAATATATATATTTTCCCGAAATTCCCGAAGATTCCTCGGAGGAGAGCCGCGTCGGGGCCTACACAGCTCGTACTCCTGCGGCTGTGAGCGGCTGAGATGATAAAAAAAAAGTTGGTTGCGTTATCAGACTTCGTTTTCACTGGTTCCCTACACATTTTACAGATGACTGTGGTTTGTTTTTGGTCCGACTTGCCATGACCGAAATACTGCCAGACTGCCGAACTACAAAAACCCTTCTTTGAAACAATTTCCTCCGCCTCTCCTTGCTGCAACATCTTCATGTGCTCTGTGTTGTGGTTTGAGAGGGCGGCGCTTGGTGACGGCGTGCCTGGGTCCGCGATTGTGATTGGTTGGGAGGAAGCAGTGACTAGCATAAACCTACATGCTAGGCTACAATGAGAAGGAAGGAAAACTGCGTTTCTTTTTTATCGAACTTTTATCGACCCTCTTTTTTTCTATTGCGCCACACGTCTATCGATCGATATATATCGTTATTGAATTATCGCCCAGCCCTAGGTTACGCCTTTGGATAAAACCAACTCGCTTTACAATGCTTAATTATGATGGCAGGGACATTGTAACTGGGAACTAGCAGCATTGTTCTGTGGTGATGCTCCTTATTATACTACAGTATTTTGCAGATTTAGAAAGCCAGAAAATGTAAAAGGCAAGTGATTTGTTGAAATCATAAGTTTGGCCAGACTGTAATGTTTTCATGCATTGAACAGAACTATCACTTTCATATTTTTATAAACAGAGGTAGATAAAATATGATTTATTACAGCGGAGAATGTAAAGATTTTGGGTAAAACTTCATCAGTTAGAACTCCGAGTTAGAGCCTTTCTTTTTACTTTTCCTGGGCTGGTTACTTTTTTTTTATTTTAATTTATTTTATTTAACCTTTATTTAACCAGGAAAGAAAATCCCATTGAGATTAAAAACCTCTTTTTTAAGGGAGTCCTGGCGAAGAGGCAGCAAAGTTACATAAGAAATAGAGATACAAACATCGATTTTGGGTAAAACGTCATCAGTTAGAACTCTGAGTTAGAGATTTTGTTTCTACTTTTCATGGGCTGGTTACTTTTTTTATTTTATTTTATTTAACCTTTGTTTAACCAGGAAAAAAAAATCCCATTGAGATTAAAAACCTCTTTTTTAAGTGAGTCCTTGCGAAGAGGCAGCAAAGTTACATAAGAAACAGAGATACATTAAAATAAATGACAGGTACATAAAAAAACATATCAAGTAAAACAATTGCAGATCATTGAAGCTGCTTCAAATTCTTTAACTTTCAGCTTAAAAGCCTTTAAAGATAAAAACTCAGTCAACTTATGTAAAGATGTTTGCTAAAGACTAAAAAAAAGTTTGAGATTCCAAATTCTTACATTTTTTTAGTGAGATAACAGAGTTATATTATGCTATATTAACCTCTTGCTGACACTGCTGGTGCTAACCTGATTTGTGAGAAAGCTTCAGTAACTGCTGTCGACTGCAGTCCAGCAAACATAAGTATATTATTGGGTCATATACAAGTTTGTTTGAAAATTAGTACCAAATTAGCAAGTGTTTATAAAGTATTTATGCTCAAAATAATACTAAAGCTATGGTATTGATAACAAATAAAGTGATATTGTGATATTTTCATTTGACATAATGATAATTTCTGAATCAAACTGATTATTGTTTTTTGGCCATATATGGACCACTATTGATAGGTAATGACCACCGCAGACCATGAACACCCAGAAATACAGTTTTTTTTGTTTTAGATATACTGAGTAGTTGTTTTTTTTACCTTTTTATAAAATATCCACTGGCTGCCTAATATACAACCACTAAAGGGAACAATGCCAAAGGAATAATAACTGTTCTTAAATCTTCCAGTCATAATTTGGAATTTGGTCATAATTTTTGCATGATTGGAGATGGTTTGTGTCCTCATTGTGTTTGATTTGTAGTCAACCTATAAAAATTCTGATAGACTACGAGGAAAAGAAGAATGGATGAACAACATAAAACAGAAGCCGGTAAAGTTAAAAAAACATTACAGTTTTTATTGCTCAAACACAGACAGAATAATTTAAAAGAATTCAGCAAACTTTATTCAGCTCTCTGCTGAATTATTCTGTTTAAAGAGTAAAGGACTCTTTAAACAGGAGCAATTTGGCAGATGCTTGTCTGCCAAGTGGAAGAAGCCTCTAATTTATAAATATGAAACCAACACAGTTATTTACGTAAAACCTTTGGAAATTAAACTGTTTACTCTAGATTATCTTTAATATGTAGCATCATATTAAAGACAATGTTAAAAATTACAGGAACATTTCAAAGCTTAAAGAAATAATTTGTGTTGGTCATTCTTTTTAAATAAATGACTGTAATCCTTGGTGAAAAGCTGCAGTAGTAAAGATATATATATATATATATATATATATATATATATATATATATATATATATATATATATATATATATATATATATATATATATATATAATTGACTGGATCAGAGCAGGCTCCTTTTGGGAAATAGTTGGTGTTTTTATACCACATTCTGTTTTTCTGTCTGGACTCGACAGCCCCTTTCTTTGCCTCTCTAATGACGTGTAATTAGAGTGTAGTTTAGCAAAGCCACCCAGTGAGATCCCCACTACAGGCCAGCTCATTACTCTTCTTGGTTCTAGTGTATCATGAACATCTGTGTCTCTGTGTCTTGCATTGTGTATCTGCTTCTTTCTCCACTTTCACACTCATTTGCTCTTCCCGTGTTTGTAAAAACAATGTAGGGCAATGTCTGACCCAGTTGCCATATGGATGTGTGAGTGTGCTTGTGTTTAATTATCCAGCGTTCTACCACAGGCTGCAGTAATCAAAGTTCAGCAACCAGAGCAGAAAAATGATGCAAC